ACTGTAAATAAGTTTGCTTTTTCTAGAATTTCATAAAATGTGGAATCATACAGTATATATTCTTGTGTCTAGCCTTTTCACTCGGCATAATGTTTGTGAGGTTTGTCCATATTGTTTAAGCAGTTTGTTCCTTTTGATTGTTGAGTGGCTTCCTGTTGTATTGATACACTACATTTTTTTATCCATTTACCTGACTTCTGGATTGTTATCAGATTTTGGTTATTGTGCATAAAGCTGCTTTGAAGATTTAGAGTAAGTCTTTATGTGGACATGTGTGCAATAACTACAATTCCTGCCTTAGAAAACATTGTCTGCCTCAGAATCTCAAAGATTTTCACTTTTGTTTTCTTCTAGAAGTTTCATCATTTTCATTTAGTCTGTGATTAATCTCAAGTTATTTTTGTGGGTGGTTTGAAGTAAGGGTTTTTGTTCGTCTTTTGTCTATTTGGATATGTAGTAGTTCTAGCACCATTTGTTGAGAAGAGTTTCTTTCTCTGTTGACTTGCCTGGCACTTTTGTTAAAAATTAATTGACCATAAATGTGTATGTCTATTTCTGGATTCTCTATTCTGTTCCACAGATCTCTATGTCCTATTGTCAGTATTATACTGTCTTGATTACTGTAGCTTTTAAAATAAGTCCTGAAATCAGATAGTGTCAGTTTTTCAACTTTAAAAAAAAATGTTTTGGCTGTTCATTATACACTATTTGCATTTCCGTATAAGTTTTAAAAACAGGCTTTCAAAAAAGAAAAGTCAATTTTACTTTTGTATTAGTGTACTATTAATGCTAAAGATTAATTAATTTTAATAAAACTTTAGAAACAAACGAAAAAAACCCCAAAAGAACAGGCTTTCAGTTTCTGAATTTATGTATAAAAAGCCTATGGGTTTTTTTTGTTTTGTTTTGTTTATTTATTTATTTATTTATTTTTGAGATAGAGTCTCACTTTGTTGCCCAGGCTAGAATGAGTGCCATGGCATCAGCCTAGCTCACAGCAACCTCAATCTCCTGAGCTCAGGCGATCCTCCTGTCTCAGCCTCCCGGGTAGCTGGGACTACAGGCATGTGCCACCATGCCCAGCTAATTTTTTTTTTGGTATATATTTTTAGTTGGTCAATTAATTTCTTTCTATTTATAGTAGAGACGGGGTCTTGCTCAGGCTGGTTTTGAACTCCTGACCTCGAGCAATCCGCCCGCCTCGGCCTCCCAGAGTGCTAGGATTACAGGTGTGAGCCACCTCGACCGGCCTGTTTTGTTTTATTTTGTTTTTAAAGGGATAGGCTCTTGCTCTGTTATCTAGGCTGGAGTGCAGTTGGCATGATCACAGTTCACTGTAACTTCGAACTCCTGAGCTCAAGGGATCCTCTGCCTGAGCCTTCCTGTTTTCTGAGTAGTTAGGACTACAGGTGCATGCCACCAGGCCTGGCTGGTTTTTTAATCTTTTGTAGAGATGAGATCTTGCTATGTTCCCCAGACTGGTCTTGAAGTCCTGGCCTCAAACAGTCCTCTTGCCTTGGCCTTCCAATATACTGGGATTACTGGTGTGAGCCACCAAGCCCAGCAGAAAGCCTATGGGAATTTTGCCTGAAATTGAGTTGACTCTCAGCTCTACTTTGACATGATGGCATGATATTCTTTTGCATGAATGTATCATCAATTATATCAATAGGGTCACAGTGATAGTTGTTTGTTAGGGGGAATTCAATCTTTTTTTTTTTATTTTTTTATATATTTAAAATTTTATTATTTAACTTTTATTCTTTTTTTTTCTTATTTTACAAACTTATAAGTACTTAGAATCCAAGAGGGAATTCAATCTTTATTGATACATTGTTGCAGTTAATTTTGTAGGTACATATGTGTTTGTGTAGTTGTGCAAGTATAGCTGTAATATAAAGTCCTGGAAGTGGAATTGTTTGAAAATTACCATATATAATTTTGATAGATATTTCTAAAGTGTCCTACATAGACATTGAGTCACCTACAGTAATGTGAGAGTATCTGATACAAACCTTTGCCAAGATAACTTCTTGATCTTTGGCCAGTCTGATAGGTGAAATATGGTATTTTGTTTTGGTTCCAATTTATATTCTGTTTTTATCACACCAACCATGTATAGTTTTTTCCCTGTAAATCTATTCTAGTGATTAGCTTTTACTATTTATTTTCAGTATTTTTCCCCCAGTTTTGTCTTTCAAACTTGGCTTCTGAATTTTGGGATAAGGCTTGAAAGGCCATTTTCACTCTGAAAGTAAATATTAAAATTCTTCAATACTTTAATCTGTTTTTTACGTTATTTTAATGATTAATTTTTTTTTGGGACATTGTCTTACTCATAGGTTACCCAGATGGTTACCCAGTTGTCTTAACACCAGTTGTTGAGTAATCTTTTTTCATTAATTTGAAATTAATGAAATTAATACCACCTTTATATGTACTAAGTCCCTTCATGCATTAGGCCTGTTTTGGGTCTCTGTTTTGTTTAATTAATCTGTTAGTTGATTTGTTGGAACTAAATTGTTAATAATTGCAGCTAAATGTGTTGTTTTTTTTTGTTTTTTGTTTTTTTTTTTGAGACAGAGTCTCGCTTTGTTGCCCAAGCTAGGGTGAGTGCTGTGGCATCAGCCTAGCTCACAGCAACCTCAAACTCCTGGGCTCAAGCAATCCTTTTGCCTCAGCCACCCGAGTAGCTGGGACTACAGGCATGCGCCACCATGCCCGGCTAATTTTTTCTATATATATATTAGTTGGCCTATATGATTAAGTTGCTGTGAGCCAGGCTGATGCCACAGACTCTAGTCCAGGCAACAGAGTGAGATAAATTTGAAAATATCCTCAATCCTTTAACTGTCAGCTCATGCCCTTTATCGGAATGACTAGAGAAATAAGAGTGGCTGTCTGTCTATATTATCAATAGCAATTCTTTAAAAAAATTTTTAAGTTATCTTATTTGTGCTTATATTTATTCATATTAACCTCAGGAAGGACATACCTGTAGTATTTCTTGGTTTTTGTTTGGCTTCTGCACTCTCTTCTCTTTGAAGATCCTAATTCAATTTAACGTGTTTATTTTGTTGTACATGTTCTCTAGTAATTCCTAGTGGAAGATGTGTGAGAGGTAAGCTTTTGACACCCTAAATACCTGAAAATACAGTTAACTCTAGACTCCACACTTAATTGTTTGGGCATTTAATTCTACTTGGGACATAGTTTTTCTTCAGCATTTTGAAGGATTTTCCTGTTATCTTGCTTATAGTGTTGCTCTTGAGAGTTTTGTTGTAATACTGATTCTTAATTATCTGTATGTGGTCGAGACTTTTTCCCCTCTAGAAGTTTGAGGGTCATCCTTTTATCCTTTTTTGTTTTTTCTTTTGAGGCAGAGTCTCACTCTTTTTGCCCGAGCTAGAGTGCTGTGCCGTCAGCCTAGCGTACAGCAACCTCAAATTCCTGGGCTCAAGCAATCCTACCTCTGCCTCCCGAGTAGCTGGGACTACAGGCATGCGCCACCATGCCTGGCTAATTTTTTCTATATATTTTTATTTGGCCAAGTAATTTCTTTCTATTTTTAGTAGAGACGGGGTCTCGCTCTTGCTCAGGCTGGTTTTGAACTCCTGACCTTGAGGGATCCTCCTGCTTCGGCCTCCAAGAGGGTTAGGATTACAGGCATCAGCCACCATGCTCGGCCATTCACCATATACTTAAAAAAGTCTTCTTACATTTTACTAGATGCTCTTGATCCTTTTAATCTGGAAACTCATGTCTTTTAGCTCTAGGAAAATTCCTTGAATTCATAATCCCATCCCCCCCCCTCGTGCTTTTCCTCTATTTTCTAAAATTCTAGTTATTGGCCTGTGAGTGCTTCATGGATGGTCCTCTAATTTTCTTATCTTGTTTCTCCTATTTGCCATATTAATCTTTTTTTTTTTTTTTTTTTTTGAGATAGAGTCTTGCTTTGTTGCTCAGGCTAGAGTGAGTGCCGTGGCATTAGCCTACCTCAAACTCCTGGGCTCACGCAATCCTGCTGCCTCAGCCTCCCCAGTAGCTGGGAATACAGGCATGCACCACCATGCCCAGCTAATTTTTTCTATATATATTAGTTGGCCAATTAATTTCTTTCTGTTTATGGTAGAGATGGGGTCTCGCTCTTGCTCAGGCTGGTTTCAAACTCCTGACCTTGAGCAATCTGCCCGCCTCTGCCTCCCCCCCTACCTTTTTTTTTTTTTTGAGACAGGGTCTGCCTCTGTCACCAGGCTAGAGTGCAGTGGTATCATCATAGCTTGCTGTACCCTTGAACTCCTGGGCTTAAGCAATCTTCTTGCCTGAGCCTCTTGTGTAGCTAGGACTACAGGTGTATGCTACCAGGCCCAGCTAATTTTTATTTTTTATTTTTTGTAAATACGGGATCTCTCTAGGTTGCTCAGACTAGTCTCAAACTCCTGGGCTCAAGTGATACTCCTGTCTCAGCCTTGTGCTGAGATTTAGGCATGAGCCACTGTACCTGGCCTATTACTCTCTTGTTCTTTATCCTTTGTGTTTATGGTTTCATCTTGTTTGGTGTTAAGCCCTCTATTGCTTTTTTTAAGTAGGATTTGAATGGTAATAGAGATAAATGTAAGTGTTTAAGTCTGCCTTCTCTAACTATATGTCAGTCTTTTTTTGTGTATATATATTTATGTGCACTATTTTTTCCCCAGAATAGGATTTTACTTTATCAGTTTAACCTATTTGATGCTTATACTATGAACCGTTTTTTGTATTTTAAAACTTTTTTCTACAATATAAAATGGGTACGTACTAGCACATAGGATGCTTGTACTATAGTTTACTGCAAATTAGAAATACTAACATTAAGTGCTCTGTGTAAAGTGAGCTCTGAAGAAATAATTAATGATAGGTCAGGGCAAAATTTTGGAATGTTATGTTTGATGAGAGGTGAATGGATGATTATGTCTCTCCTTTGTCCTTTTAAACATTTAAAAAAGTACTTTTTCTTTTAGGTGCTGTATAATGTGTTAAGAGCATATCATAAGGAATGGTTTTGTCAAATTTTCATGAGTTATGGTGGCTGAAACATCAGTTCTGTTTTGTGGGAAAAGAACTGTAAGTAAACTTCATGTCATAAATTGATTTTCAATGATTCTATGCTTGTATAAGACAGGTTATTGATAATTCATAGGAATGTAGTTGGGATACTTCATTCTGTTAGCCTTAAGTGTACTGACTATTTCAAAAGGTGGAGTTTGACTTTATTTAACTCAAAGTAATTTCTGTGTAGTATTAGCATTGCCATGTTTCGTGGATTGTACAAAATTTAATTTTTATTTTTTAATTTTTCAGAAATGGCAGCACAAAAGGAAATCTATATTAGAATATTTTATTAAACGAAGGAAGTTAGATAAGAACGGCAAACCAACAGACTCAGCAAACAAGGAAAGAAACCTGTTAGCTGTAAGACATGTTTCAAATGAATCAAAGTCCAGTAACTGTGGACTTCAGAAGAAAAATGTTTTCAAAAATTTTATCAAAACAGACAGGTCAGTGGTAAGTAACTCCTCCAGTAATAGGGCTAGGCCTGAAACCAAAATTAATTTAAACATTAACAGATTGAATCTGAATTAAATTTGTTTTCATAAAAAAACTTGTAAAAATATTGAATTAGAATTAATTTTTCCTCAAGTTTCTATTGCCTTGTCCAAAGTAAAGCAAATATCTTTAAGCATTCATGCCAGCTTTTCTCATGTCCTAGGAATGACAGAAATCTTACTTTAAGCAAAGTAGTATTTTTGTTGAAAATGTTTATCAGCATCGGTTAAAGTTGATTTTTTAAGACCTGCTCCTCATTAGTAATACTAGTAGCTATTCAGTGTTTGCACCTATCAGGACACGAAAGTCCTCTTAAAAACTACTCAGAAAAGGAAGACATTACTCAGGAATGATGTCCATTCAGGAGAAATCAAAAGAAAATTCCTCCAAAGTTACTAAAAAAAGTGAAGATAAGAATTTAGAAACAGAAATTCAAAGTTCTCAAAAGAATCTAGCAAAAAAATCAGGTCCAAAGGAAACTGTAAAATCACTCGTTAAATCTTCCAGTGAAAGTAAAATAAATCAGCCTGAATTGGGAATACGCATGAGTACAAGGTCAGCAAAGGCAGCATCCAATGGTAAAGCCACTCAATCCATTAATAAAAATACGGTGACTGTGAAGGAACATGCACAGCAAGAATCTACAAAAAAGAAGGCATTATCTCAGAAAAAATTAGTGCATGAAACCATTAAAGCAAATGAACAACTTAACCGGAGATCACAAAGACTGCAACAATTAACAGATGTTTCAAGGTCTTTGCGCAGTAGAGAAATTCAGGGTCAAGTTAAACAGAGTTTACCACCAATAAGAAAAGAGCACTGTAGCAATACTCAAAGTAAATCTAATACAGTTAAAACAAGTCAAAAACATGTGAAAAGAAAAGTACCGGAAATAAAGTCTGACTCTAAAGAGGATGAAAATCTTGTAATTAATGAAGTAATAAATTCCCCCAAAGGGAAAAAACGAAAACTAGAACATCAGACAGCTTATACTTGTAGTTCTCAAAGCATACAAGGATCTGAAAAGTGTTTTCAGAACACTACTAGAAAAGAGGAAATAAAACCTGTGCATGTAACTTCTGAGATAAAAAGATCAAAAGTGGCTATTTCAGTGCTCTCAAAAAAGAGTGAGATGAAGTCAGTTCATATACAAGTGAATACTAGTGCAGAATCCCAAAAAAGTCCACAGCCATCAGTGCCTGAAAAAAGTGTAGACAATGAGCTGGAGCAAGAAGGAAAGAGCAAACGAGGTAGTATTCTCCAGCTCTGTGAAGAAATTGCTGGTGAAATTGAGTCAGATACTGTAGAGGTAAAAAAAGAATCTTTACAGATGGAGAGTGTAAAGGAGGAGAAACCTACAGAAATAAAATTGGAAGAGACCAATGTTGAGAGACAAATACTTCATCAGAAGGAAACGAATCAGGATGTGCAGTGTAATCGTTTCTTCCCCAGTAGAAAAACAAAGCCTGTGAAGTGTGTACTAAATGGAATAAACAGTGCAACTAAGAAGAACTCCAACTGGACTAAAATTAAACTCTCAAAATTTAATTCTGTGCAGCAAAATAAGTTGGATTCTCAAGTTTCCCCTAAATTGGGCTTGTTACGAACTAGTTTTGTACCACCAGCTTTAGAAATGAATCATCCAGTGACACAGAGTACATTTTTAGGAATAAAACCACATGATAGAAATATAGAATGTCAGCAGGAAAAAACGAAAGAAAGATATTCTGAAGAAGTTAAAATTAATGATGTTACAGTTGAAGTTAAAAAAACTACAAAAAGGACTCCTGAAAATTGTCATTTGGATAATCAGATAAAAGCTGCTCCTGACCCACCATTGGATAATCAGATGAAACATTCTTTTGAATCAGCAACACCAGATAAGGTAATCCATTTTTATTATGTACAGTAGAGGTCCCCGAGTACTTTCTAATAAGAAATGTATATACAACATATTTTAGTTTAAGATTTAAGTCATAAGAGGTTGAAGAGTCAACAGTTTGTAAGACTGTTATGTTGTCAGGAAGAATCCTATTGTCAGGAAGAATTTTATTAACCCAATCTTGTAGTGATAAAATTTAGTGACAACTTTAGATGGTTCACATTTAGTTAGATGTTTCCTCATTTTCACTGTTCATTTTTTTTATGTATAAACATAAAACATAAACAAACATAAACATAAAACAGCATAAATCTGTTGAATTCCAACTTTTCTTTTAAATTTAGCACACTGATAATTTTTTCTATTTATTATAACAACAGAAAATATGTTTCTTAATGATTAAAATCTAGAACTTAAACTTGGGCCCATTTCCAACCAAGATATTAAAATTAATTTCAACTGGCCTAACCAACCTTTTTTTTCCATCTGATAAAGTTGAAAAGTTAAACATATTTAAAGGGGTGACTTGTGTGGCCATTTTGAATAGTTGGCAAATAAAATATCTGAGCGGTATAAATAATTATGTCTTCAGTCTAAGAATAAAATTGTAGTGGCCAAGAGTTTTTGAAATGGAAAAGTAAATTGAAAATCAGATTCTTATATCTGGAAGATAGTGATTATCTGAGAAAGTAGTTTCATACTTTAAAAAAACAGCTGAACCCCTTTCTTTCTAAAGTAAATCATATATAGAATATCAACATATAACACCAATAAGCAGAAATTTTATACGCATAAAACCTTGGAACTCTAATACAGATAAAACTCATAAATTTGTATTAATTATTTAATTGTATAATGAGAAAACTGAGAGCAAAATGTGACTTAGGTCTCATGTTTGGTGGCACAGATAGGATTAGAATTCAGTTGTTCTAATTCTTACCCTAGATTCTTTTTACAACAACATACTCTGAACATTAGAAAATCATTTGAACAAAAAAAGTATCAAGAATAGAGAAGGAAGGTGAGTTTTTTTTTTTTTTTTTTTTTTTGAGACAAAGTCTCGCTTTGTTTCCCTGGGCTAGAGTGCCATGGCATCAGCCTAGCTCACAGCAACCTCAAACCTCTGGGCTCAAGCAATCCTTCTGCCTCAGCTCCTGAGTAGCTGGACTACAGGCATGCACCACCATGCCGGCTAATTTTTCTATACATATTTTTAATTGTCCAGATAATTTCTTTATATTTTTAGTAGAGACGGGGTCTCGCTCTTGTTCAGGCTGGTATCAAACTCCTGAGCTGAAGCAGTCCTCCCGCCTCTGCCTCCCAGAGTGCTAGGATTACAGGCGTGAGCCACCGCGCCTGGCCGAAAGTTGAATTTTGAGAGTGATTTAAAGTTCTCTTTAGAAAATTTTGGTATAGGAGCAAATTTGAATGAGTTAAGAGTCTGGCTTTATTCCAGAAGCTGTGAAAGTAGATCAGTGTCTGTTCTTCTGGGCTGAAAATCAAAATGAACTTAAATGGAACAGAGACACCATATGGTACTCTTAGATTTTGTTTTCTATATAAATAGGAATGAAAGCATCAATTGAAAGATAATTATTCAGAGAGATTTTACCAAATAGTCAGTGGTAGTAATTAGAAGTAAGTAGTGAGTGGTAGTTCGAGTTAATACGTTGTGGCCTCTTGCAGAGACGGGATGAGTGACTATTTTTTTGTTTTTGAGACAGAGTCTCGCTTTGATGCCCAGGCTAGAGTGAGTGGCATGGCGTCAGCCTAGCTCACAGCAACCTCAAACTCCTGGCTCAAAGGATGCCTGCTGCTCAGCCTCCCAGTAGCTGGGACTACAGGCATGTGCCACCATGCCTGGCTAATTTTTTCTATATATATTAGTTGGCCAATTAATTTCTTTCTATTTATAGTAGAGACAAGGTCTCATTCTTGCTCAGGCTGGTTTCGAACTCCTGACCTGGAGAAATCCACCCGCCTCAGCCTCCCAGAGTGCTAGAATTACAGGTGTGAGCCACTGCGCCTGGCCGATGGGTGACTTTTTGTTTAGGATTGTTTCTCCACGTGTAGCTGGGGAGTGTATCTTCTGATTCCTTGCTTTATATAAATGCATTTCAAAACTCAAAAGGCAGATAGTTATGGGAAATATATTGAAGGATATGAAATCTAATTCTTTTGGACTAAACTATACTAGAATAGAGATGTTTATTTATAGCATATAATTTCTATTATAATATTGCTGTTACTGAAAGGTGATTTGGATGTATGCAGCCCTTTTGTGGAACGTTCTAAGAAACAGTCCTGTGAAACTTGTTGCTGTGTTAAGAATTTTATTTATGTTTTGAAATTCTTTACTATTTCAAACATTTAGAGTATAGCTGAGATTTATATTACTCTCATGTGTCAGCCACTAAGATTTGACAAAAGTTAACATTTTGTTGAATCATTTCAGGTCTTTTAAGAAAAGTACATTGCGATATGATTGAAGACTGTACCTCCCTCTTTATTCCATTCACCATCCTTCTCCCCAGGGTTAAATATGCTCCTGGAGTTGGTGTGGATCTTTTTTATTTTTACGATTTTATGTGTTATGTGTATATAAATTCATAAAGAATACTTAATATTGTTTGTGTTTCAAATTTTTACATAAATGATAACATTATATATAAAATTTTTGTAGCTTAGTTTTGTGCAGTCAAGATTATATTTGACTCTTACTGATACATGGGCATTTTAATAACCGTAAAGGAATATATCACAAATTTATCTTTCTTTTATCAAAGACTTTCAGGTGATTTCCAGTTTTTATCACTAATATCAGCAATGTGATCACTATCACAGAGTGATCAGAAAATGTGGTGTTGACCATATCAGTTCAAGAAATATTTGAGTGCCTGCTGTGTCCATGATGCTGCTGTGTTAGGGTTACAGAAGATATATTTCCTGCCTTTAAGTAATTTACATTGCAGTAGTCATTAAGAGATTTTTCTTTACTCCATAAATACTAATAAGTGAGGATATCTTAGTTTAACAATCATAATAGCTTTTGTTAAATGAACACTGACTCTTTTTTTTTTTTGAGACAGAGTCTCACTTGTTGCCCAGGCTAGAGTGAGTGCCGTGGTGTCATCCTAGCTCACAGCAACCTCAAACTCCTAGGCTCAAGCGATCCTCCTGCCTCAGCCTCCCGAGTAGCAGGGACTACAGGCATGCGCCACCATGCCCGGCTGAGGCGCCCCCCTTTTTTTTTTTGAGACAGAGTCTCACTTTGTTGCCCAGGCTAGAGTGAGTGCCGTGGCGTCAGCCTAGCTCACAGCAACCTCAAACTCCTAGGCTCAAGCGATCCTCCTGCCTCAGCCTCCCGAGTAGCAGGGACTACAGGCATGCGCCACCATGCCCGGCTGATTTTTTTTCTATATCTATTAGTTGGCCAATTAATTTCTTTCTATTTATAGTAGAGATGGGGTCTCACTCTTGCTCAAGCTGGTTTTAAACTCCTGACCTTGAGCAATCCACCCGCCTTGGCCTTCCAGAGTGCTAGGATTACAGGCGTGAGCCACCGCTCCCGGCCTGAACACTGACTCTTAATATAAGTAATTACAATCAACACTGTAAGTTCCATTATTATTCACATATTACAGGACAGGAAAGTGAAGTTTAGAGATTAAAGTAACTTTCCCGAGTGACAGTTAAGTGATGGAGCCAGGATTTAAACTGAGATTGGCTAGCTGTAAAGCTCAGCCAGACTTATACTTGGGGGGAAGTAGGAGAATGCAAAAAACAAAAGCAAAAATAACCCTACCTCCATAACTACAACTTTTATATCACTGAAAACTTTTCCTATAGCCACCTGTAATTTTGCTCTTTTGATTATATGGTGTCACCCTCGGCATTACTGAGAAAAGATGATAGTTAATAAGGGTAAGTATCTGGTAGAACTTCCCTGAATTCTTTGGGGTGAATTTAAATTATTCTGACCTTACAAATTTTAAAGCTCAATTATTTTATGATTGTTTTTCAAACCAATAACTTACTAACTTTTTGGCCAGGCGAGGTGGCTCATGCCTGTAATCCTAGCACTCTGAGAGGCCAAGGTGGGAGGATCCCTTGGGGTCAGAAGTTTGAGACCAACCTGAGCAAGAGTGAGATCCCCGGCTCTACAAAAAATAGAAAAATTAGCTGGGTGTGGTGGCACTTGCCTTGCAGTCCCAGCTACTAGCTACTCAGGCTGAGGCAAGAGCGTCACTTGAGCCCAGGACTTTGAGGTTGCTATGAGCTAGGTTGATGCCTTGGCACTCTATCCCAGGCAATAGAGCTCTGTCTCAAAAAAAAACCTGAAAAACTTACTAACTTCTGGTTAGTGGTGATTAGAGTAATTAGTAACATGTTGCTCTTGTCTTTAATTTTTCTGCTTTGTTTTTCAATGACAAAAATGTTTATTTTTTCAAAATATAATGTTCACAAAAGTGACATGTTCATTGTAACAGTTGCATTACAGATGTATACACAAAATTGTTTCCTTCCTCATTTCTGTTTCCCTGAGATAGCCACTGTTCATCGTGTTTGGAGTATTTTATTTTAGTAGTTACTAATTGAGTATCTGCTTTGACAAGGTTCTGAATTAGGGGTTTTTGGGAATAAAAAGGTAAGTTTGACATGGTTCTTGCTCTTAAGACTTATAGGTAAGTTAGACACAAATAGCTGATTCAGAATAGGAAATGATAAGGACATGAAAGACATATAGACAAAGTAGATGAGGGATAATTAGGGAAGATTGGGGAAGGCTTCATGAAGGAAGTTAATATTTGAGTAATAAGTTGAATTTATACAGGGGGAAAGGTATTCTAGATGAGCACTATCCAGTAGAAGTACAGTGTGAGCCACAGGTATAATTTTAAATTATCTGGTAGCCACATTAATAGAGTAAAAATAAACTGGTAAAATTAATTAGAATAAATTTTATTTTAACTTATTTGATAAAAGTACTATCATTTCAACATATAATCAGTTCTTAAAATTGTTTTATTTAATTTTTTTGAGACAGGGTCTTGCTCTGTTGCCCTGGCTAGAGTGCAGTGTGTTGTCATAGTTCACTGCAGCTTCAAACTCCTGGACTCAAGCAGTCCTCTTGCCTCAGCCTCCCAAGTAGCTGGGACTACAAGCACATGCCACCATGCCTTGCTAATTTTTCTATTTTGTTTGTACAGACGAGGGTCTTGCTGTTGTTCGGGCTGGTCTCAAATTCCTGGCCACAAACAGTCCTCCTGCCTCCCAAAGTGCTAGGATTACAGGCATGAGCCACTGTGCCTGGCTTAAAAATTATTAATGACATATTTTACTCTCTTTTTGTATGTGCTTAGGTTTTCAAAATCTGGTATGTGATTTATGCTTATAGCACATCTCAAATCATACCACTTTTTTTTTTTTTTTTTTTTTGAGACAGAGTCTCATCTTGTTGCCCAGGCTAGAGTGAATGCCATGGCATCAGCCTAGCTCACGGCAACCTCAAACTCCTGGGCTCAAGCAATCCTACTGCCTCCACCTCCCGAGTAGCTGGGACTACAGGCATGCGCCACCATGCCCGGCTGATTTTTTCTATATATATTAGTTGCCCAATTAATTTCTTTCTATTTATAGTAGAGACGGGGTCTCGCTCTTGCTCAGGCTTGTTTTGAACTCCTGACCTTGAGCGATCCACCGCCTCGGTCTCCCAGAGTGCTAGGATTACAGGTGTGAGCCACCGTGCCCAGCCAATCATACCACATTTTAAGTGTTCACTAGTTATATGTATCAGATGTGGCAGTGACTGCCATATTGGATGGTACAATTTAGACAGGTAGCTAGAACTCTTACGATAAAAGATATAGAGCCAGGCTGCTATGGATTATGTCCATGGGAGAGGTGTTTATTTTATTTTAATTTTTTTGAGACAGGGTCTTGATATGTTTCCCAAGCTGGCTTTGAACTTCTAGGTTCAAGCAGTCCTTTCCCACCTCAGTCTTCTGAGTAGGAGGGACACAGGTGTAAGCCATTGTACACAGCTTGTTTTTAAATTTAGCTTGAAGGGGAATAATGGGCACTAATGCTGAGGGGGTAGCTTGTGGCAAGATCACGGAGAGATTTATTTAATGCATGTCTGTTTGAATTATTGCAAATATAAAGTATCTTAACTTTTATATATATGCTAAAATTTACTCAAAGTGTGTTTGGTTAAGACCCAAAGTTGATGAAAATTTTGAATTATATGTGTTCAGAATTTCAGCCTATGTTTGGAATCCAAGCTGGGAGGCAATCCAGTGGAAAATACTAGTTCTGTTTCAACTCTACTCAGTCAAGCAAAAATCGATACAGAGGAGAGTAAATTTCCAGGTAATACTTTGAAAATACTGGATTTCACAGTGTTCAGTGACATTTTTGTCAGTATTACAGAAAACACTATCATATACCCAGTAGTCCTGCTAAATAAAACCTTCTTAACCATTGCTAGGGTTTTTCAAATGTGTGATAATCATGAATGTCACCCATTCTTTCAGATTTCCTTCTGTTGATTGGTTTGTTTAAGGTATCTAACTAGTACTTTTTGACTCTATCAAAAGCTCTTTTGTTTTTAAATCTGTCATTTTGTTTGTGACTCTCTGGAGAAGTATTCCTTAATGAATTGCTTAAGGTAATGGTAGCAGTTTATTTCTCATGTACTTTACTATTTGTACTTTACTACTTCAGGTTGTTACCTTTAATCCTCAGTTACTCAGTTCACCATCTCAATGATTCTTTGTCTGAATTAAGAATTTAATAAATGCTGCAAATTGTCCACTATACCATACAAAAGCTTTATGTTTGTAACCTTGTCAACATTTTTTTACAATATATTATTTGAACTGTTTTATGGAGATTTGCTCACCTGTATCAGATGGGGTACCAGATATAGGAAAGAAATTTCTAGTTCCTTACTATTTCTCTCTGCTAAGGGAGAATTGTACTCAGAGCAAAATATGGAGGTCAGATAATCACCATTAATCATTTAACTTTTTCTCTTATTGGGGGAAGGGGAAATAAAATATGAGAAATGCACTGGGAGGCCTAGGTGGGCAGATTGCTCGTGGTTAGGAGTTCAAAACCAACCTAAGCAAGAGCGAGACCCCATCTCTACTATAAATAGAAAGAAATTAATTGGCCAACTAATATATATAGAAAAAATTAGCCAGGCATGGTGGTGCATGCCTGTAGTCCCAGCTACTCGGGAGGCTGAGGCAGCAGGATTGCTTGAACCCAGGAGTTTGAGGTTGCTGTGAACTAGGCTAACGCCATGGCATTCACTCTAGCCTGGGCAACAAAGCGAGACTCTGTCTCAAAAAAAGAGAAATGTATTTATTCATTAGAATATAAAATGGATCGATTATTGTATTTATGTATTAATGTGTTTAAAATTCCAGAGACTTTTTTATTTTTTTAAAGAGCAACGTCTCTCTGTCACCCTGGCTAGTGTGCAGTGGTGTCATCATCATAGCTCACTGCAACCTACAACTCCTGGGCTCAAGCATTTCTTTCGCTTCAGCCTCCCGAATAGCTGGGACTACAGGCGCGAGCCACCACACCCAGCAAACTTTTTCTAGTTTTTAGTAGAGTCAGGGTCTCTTTCTTGCTCAGGCTGGTCTGAAACTCCTGAGCTCAAGTGATCTTCCCACCTTGGTCTCTTGAGAGTGCTAGGATTACAGGCGTGAGCCATTGCACATGGCCTCTTTGCAACTCTTAAGTTCAAGTGTGGGACAGCCTTTCTGCCTCTTCTCTGAAGAGTAATATCTACGAAGGGGGCTCTAATTTTATCAAATGGTCTTTGTTAACAAATAAAGCATTTAGTGCATGGAAAGTTTTTTTCTTTATGTATAATGATTTCATCCATTAGATAGAGAGCTAATACAAAACTTAATGCATAACCTATCTTCTTGATTAAATTACAGGTTCAGCTCCCAAACAGCACAGTATACTCAATAACCAAACATTTAAGAGCAGTGATAACAGGTAAGGTATTAATTAAATTTTAAGCACTTAAGGATTTTATACTTACAAGTTTCAACTTACAAATTCTCTTTTTATTATAATTTTTTAATGCTTGTACATAGTGTTTAATAGCTTTTTTTTTTTAATGTACTGTGGCCATCTTTTTTACCACCTTATTCTTTTAAATTTTGTATTAGATTTCATTGTGTCTGTTACATGGTTTATTTAACTGTTCTCCACTTTATGAACATTTTGGATGTTTCTAGTTTATTTCTATCCCTCCAAAAAACCCAAAGGAAGTGCTATAATAAACACATATATCTTTGCCCAATTTTGTGACTGTATTTCAAGGATAAATTCATAGCTTTCCCTCCAAAGTGTTTGTGCCGGTTTCTACTCTCAGCAGCCATGTTGAGAATGCTTTTTCCCCCACACTCCTAGAAATACTGGGTATTATCAACATGTAAGAGTGTTCTAAATAGATTAAAAGCTTTTTGTTTTCTTTCTTGAGCCCCCCCCCCCCTTTTTTTGAGACTGGATCTCTGTCACCCTCAGTGTAGAGTGCAGTGGTGTCATCATAGCTCACTGCAGTCTCAAACTCCTGGACTGGAGCAGTCCTCCTGCCTCAGCCTTCCCAGTAGCTGGACTATAGGTGTATACCACCATGCCTCGCTAATTTTTCTATTCTTCGTAGTGATGGAGTCTTGCTGGATTTGCTAGCCTGGTCTTGAATTCCTGGCTTCCAGCGATCCTTTCACCTTAAACTCCCAATGTGCTGGGATTACAGGCACGAGCCAGTGCACCCTGCCTGTTTTCTTTCTAATGTCAGAATTAGATCAATCTGACTTATTTTGCCATTTGGATTACCAACAAACAATATTTAGGACAAACTGGAGTGACTCAGATGGCTAACACTTTGAAACTGAAAACATACTGAGACTATAGTAGGTGTTGTAATTTTTTGTTTATTGAAAGTTAATAGTTTTACTGTTTTTTTAACCCCTTGAAATTGGAATTTGTCAGTGTTGTGTAAAAAATAAGTTATTTTTTCCCTCCAGTGATTTGTAATGATATCGATCTGTAATATTTAATAGGTTTTGTGTGTGTGTGTGTGTGGTTTGTGTTTTTTTTTTTTAAGGGAGACACCACCAAATCATTCTTGGCCTAAGTGTAATTCCCATTTGGAGATAACAATTCCAAAGGACTTGAAACTAAAAGAAGCAGAGAAAGGTGATGAAAAACAGTTGATCATAGTAAGTATACAGTGTGACTTTTTTGGTGAAGTGTTAAAAGCATCTGTTAGTTTGTTTTGTGTTGCTATAACAGAATGCCTGAGACTGGGTAATTTATATAGAAAAGAAGTTTATTTAGCTCATGGTTCCAAGGGCTGGGATTTGCATCTGCACTGATGAGGACCTCAAGCCCCTTCAACTCATGGATGAAAGCGGAAGGTGGGGAGCAAACTCATGTAGGAAGAGACAAGTAGCTCATTTCCCTTCTGGAGGAAGCAAGAGAGAGAAACCAAGGAAGCCAGATTGTTTTTAACATTTGCTGTCTTGGGAAGTAATCCATTCCTGAGAGAACTCACCTCAGTGGGAGAGCAGAGCTTTAGAGGACATTAATCTTGGTTGTGAAGGATCCGTCTCCATACCCCAAACATCTCCCACTAGGCTCCACCTCCTAACACTGCCACATTGGAGATCATATTTCAACATGAGTTTTGGTGAGGACAAACCAAACCATGTTAAAATCATAGCAGTGTCCCATTTATGCAAGGTATTAAAGAATAAATTTATTCCTAGAGACTTTTTGTCATTATAAATTTTCATTATGGAAAATATTCCTGGTATTACAAATCCCCTACTCAAATAGTGAGTCCATCCTGTAACAAATAATAATTCAGTTTTCTTACTTCTAGTTTTATATATTACAAATTGTGACACTTTATTTCACATCTGTTACTTTCTTAGACACATCATTTGATCACTGCCTTCTTTTAGTAGTTGATTTATTTATTTATTTTTTGTTTTTTTGTTGAGACAGAGTCTCACACTGTTGCCCAGGCTAGAGTGCCGTGGCATCAGCTTAGCTCACAGCAACCTCAAACTCCTGGGGTTAATCAATCCTACTGTCTCAGCCTCCTGAGTAGCTGGGACTACAGGCATGCGCCACCATACCCAGCTAATTTTTTCTATGTATTTTTAGTTGGCCAATTAATTTCTTTCTATTTTTTTTAAGTAGAGACGGGGTCTTGCTCTTGCTCAGGCTTGTTTTGAACTCCTGACCTTGAGCGATTCTCCCACCTCGGCCTTCCAGAGTGCTAGGATTACAGCATGCCTGGCCTCAGTAGTTGATTTAAATTTTAAAATAGCATGAGCATAATACATAAAAGGATTTTAAGTATCTATATTGTAGTATATATTATAATTTTAAAATTACAGTTTATGCAAAACCAATAGTAAATTTGAAATAGAGCATAAATTCTCTCCAGTTTGGTGACAAAATGGAAAAGAGAGGGAGATATTAATACTTTGATTAAAAATATAATTTGCATAAGTGAAGGCAATTATAAAATGAAGGTAACCAAAATAATAAGGACATTTAATGTAGTTCCAGTCAATAGGATTTTTTGAGACTGGGCAATGGACTTTTTTTTTTTTTTGATACAGGGTCTTACTCTGTCTTCCAGGCTAGAGTGCAGTGGCATCATCACAGCTCACTGCAACCTCAAACTCCTGGGCTCAAGTGATCTTCCTGCCTCAGCCTCCTGGCTGGGACTACAGGTGTGCACCACCACGCCTGGCTAATTTTTCTGTTTTTTTGTAAAGATAGGATTTCACTCTTGCTCAGGCTGGTCTTGAACTCCTGGCCTCAAGCAATCCTTTCACCTCGGCCTCTCAATGGATTCTAACTTTAATATCAGAGAATAACTTTGCAAGAATTGTCTAGAAATTTTTTTGAAGGAATAGTGAGAGGTGACTTGTTTTATTTTGTTTAATAATGTTTCTGTTGTCAAATCAGTGTGATATTGAATCAGGATTAAATAAATAGAATCTAGAGCTGCATTGTTCGATATGGTAGCCACAGGTGGCTGTTGAGCACTTGAAATGTGGCTCATTGGAATTGAAATATGCTGTAAGTGTAAACAATACATACTACATTTCAAAGACTAGTACATGCTACATTTCAAAGACTAGTACAAAATATGATATCTAATAGGTTTGTTATATGGAATACATGTTGAAATGGGTTTTGTTAAGTAAAATATTATTAAAATTAATTTCACCTGTTTCTTCTTGCATTCTTTAACATGACTAATAGAAAATTTTAAGTTACATTTGTAGATTACATATCTGTTGGCTAGTGCTGATCAAGACAATGATGATGTTAATGATGATACTGATAATCCTTTTTTCCCCCTAACATAGTGAGGTGTATGGAACTGGCTAATTCTTTTTGAAAGCATTATTATGTGATCTGTATTCATGTTAAAACTAAGTTAAGCCTTATAGGAAAAGTATGAGACAGGTACTACTGTTATTTCCCATTTATTAGGAAACTAAGGCAGAAATGCTTTCTCATTGCTATGAAAACTGCCTGTTCAAAGAGATATGTGTACACCCATGTTCATTATTCATAATAGCCAAAAGGTGGAAATAAGCTAAGTGTCCATTGACAGATAAATGGAAAAACAAAATATGGTATACATATGATGGAATATTATTCAGCCTTTAAAAGGAAGGAAATTCTGACACATGCCAGGCAGCATGGATGAACCTTGAAGACATTATGCTAGGTGAAATAAGCTAGTCACAGCAAGTCTCATACTATATGACTCTACTTATATGAGGTACCTAGAGTAGTCAAATTCAGAGACAGAAAGCAGAATGGTGGTTGCCAAAGGTAGGGGGAAAGAGGAGAATCAAGAGTTTAATGGGTAGAGGCTGGGCATGGTGGCTCACGCCTGTAATCTAGCATTCTGGGAGACCCAGGTGGGCGGATTGCTCGCTCAAGGTGAGGAGTTTGAAAACAGTCTGAGCAAGAGCGAGACCCTGTCTCTACTAAAAAAACAAATAGAAAGAAATTAATTGGCCAACTAAAAATATATAGAAAAAATCAGCCGGGCATGGTGGTGCATGCCTGTAGTCCCCAGCTACTTGGAAGGCTGAGGCAGAAGGATTGCTTGAGCCCAGGAGTTTGAGGTTGCTGTGAGCTAGGCTGATGCCATGGCGCTCTAGCCCGGGCAACAGAGAGAGACTCTGTCTCAAAAAGAAAAAAGATATTAAATGGAGTCCTAAAAATTATTTTCTCTAGACTCTAGCAGTATAATTATTGCAAGTATGAAATATATATTCTGTCTTGTGAAGTATTCACTATTTGGGGCTTTAGGATTAAGCATGTAATGTTATAGATATCTCTCAGTTCCTTTAAATTGTTGTTATATGCTGTGGGACAAATGATCAGGTTACTAAAATGAAAACATTTCTTAAAATTATGTACAGATTGCAGAGATTAATATCTTAATTTTTGTAATTAATGCTGAATGTTATTCATTATAAACAGTTCTCACTTTATCTTCACATTATATCCTTAGAGGCTGATGTTGTGGAATAATTCTTTTGGGAGGAAAAAAACCTTTTGTTTGTTTTTTATGAATAGGATGCAGGACAAAAAAGATTTGGGGCAGTTTCCTGTAATGTTTGTGGAATGCTTTACACGGCTTCAAATCCAGAAGATGAAACACAGCATCTACTTTTCCACAACCAGTTTATAAGTGCTGTAAAATATGTGGTAAGTGGAATTTGTGAGTTCTAAAATGTAAAACTCAGATAATTAGGTCAGGATCTTAATGAGATGAATTACCAAATTCTTGAAAAATTTTTGTTTTTAAGAAAAAATAATATATACAAAGCACATATAGTATGTATATTGGCTTATTTTAAAACAAAGCCAAACATACAAACCAGCTAATTTAGTCTGGTTTATGTTGTAGGATTTTTAATTTAAATTGTATTTTTCTTCAAGTAGCAGGATTCTTAAAAATTAAAAAAAACTGTATTTTTCTAAAGTAGTTACTACTAAGAAGTAATGCTATTTACCTTGAGTATGTTTTTTAAACATTTCCTTTGGTTTTAATAATTATTTACTGTTGATAAACCTGTTTAATATTAATATAATTTGAATATAACAATTTTGTATTTGGAGATTAATAATGACATATGTTATACGAAGTAGATGGTTTAAGGGTTTCCTTTAACCTTCCCTTTGCTATCATCAGGGTATTTCTTTATAAAATTAAAAAAGAAAAATTCTAGAAGGTTAAGACCTCAGAATTTATAGTATACTAAAAGGAAAAAAAATCCCACAAAGTAAATAAGTTTTAGTATAAAGTGTTTTTTAATGTAAGTGTATTTTAGGCATAATGGGTGTTATTTAATATTTGTTTCTGGAAATAGAAGAATTTTTTAGCAATTTTGAACCATTTCAGATATCTTGTGAAAACAGTAATCTTATTGCTGTCTGCCTGTATCTGAAATGGAATCAGTTTTTATTTTGTACATGTTACCTCAGTACTGTACACTCACATAGTAAGACCTCCAGGATATCTGAACTGAGATCACCAATTCATTTCCTATAGGCCTTTGTATAGGCACCAGATATTGGATTATTTAAAGGTCTTTATTGGCCTCAGTTGAGATTCATATACCTGTATTTACCTTTTATTGAAGGATTTGTATTCATTGTTTCATTCATGCAGTTATTTCTATGTAGGATAGGTCAGATTTTCCTTTTTTGGTTCTCTATTGTGGTCATCCTTTACATTCCTTATTTTATCTGCCTTTTCCATACACACACTCTCTTACCACTTCACTAAATAAAATCTAAATTGTGTGGACATCGAATACTAACAGCTAGATAGTGTTTTATCATTTGAAGTTTGTACCCTTTCAGTTTGACTGTGTTAATATCCTTGCATCGTGAAAGAAAAATAGTTGTATTAGGTACCTAAATCCTAGAATACTTCTGGGGCAAAGATATTTCAGTTTATTTTACATACATGAACCCGGTAGAAGTTAGTTAAAGTTATTTCTGCTCAGTTTACAGTATTTAATTTTGGTGATCATTTAGTTTCATAAAATTATAAAAACCTTAAGTTTAATAGGCTTAATTCTTCATTTTAAGGAAAATTCTTAATTTCTGAGAGGAACAGTAAAGAAATCAATTAGGAAATATGTGCTTTGTTCTTCTAAGATACCAAGGGCAATTGATTTATGGAACAAGGTGAAGTCATCACCTTCCAAACAAATTCTGACTACCTTGCAAAGCATGTGTAGCAATATAGGGAACATTAGTTCCTACCCCAGCGAGAGATACATATTGAATAATTCCAATGAGACAGAGCAATTTTAATCTTTATAATTTTGCTAACCGTGTAAAGTCACACTCGACATCCAAGTGCAAAGGGTTAAGTTGAGGACATCTCAGAAAAAATTATCCTCTTCTGCATTATTGAAAGCTCAAATATAGTTGAATTCTGACAGGTTTTGGGCCTGGCAACATGGCTCAATGAACCAGTGGAGAACTCCTGCTTTCTCTTCACACTTTTAAAGAACAGTACTTTTACTTCCTGAAGGAAACTTAAGTAATTCCTAAATCTAAACTAACTCCAGGCTGACCTGAAGCAGTAAGAGGCTCCTTCCTAAATATTTCAGTAAGTCAGATAAAATTAATGTCCTGAATGGTGTCAATGAGGCACATGAGGTAAAATGAAAGAATAAAGAAATTACCTATTTCTCACTACCCAAACTAAAGAGAAATAAAAGACAAGTAAAGAAATAACAAGCATTTCAGTCAACAAAAAACAGAATCTGTGGGATCAATTTCTACTATGACTATCTAATTTAAATATTATTTTAACCTTTAAAAATAGGCTTTAGCCATTTCTAACCATCATAAATTATTAACTTGCCTGGGAAAGATTTTTACACTATGGTTGGTGTCTTGTGAAAATCCTGGGACAGTATAGGAAGACTGCCCCCAACCTGAGAAGGAACTGAGAGCCAATAATAACTAAAAAAACCCCTGATGAGTTTATTAGAGGTTTCTTACTAGGGTGCTTGCTCTGGGGCACAGGATTTCTTCCACAGGAGCTTTCTTGCATGCAAATCCACATCTGCCCAACTGTGTGTAGTGTTGCCTTAAATCCCTTCCAATGAGTAACACAAAGTGTTTACACTGTATCTTTGCTTCACAGTGAAACATATCATGCAGGTGGTACCACCACCATCTGCTGTCATGTAATCCATGTTCCATTAATGATACTACAATTGTCCACTAGCTGGGGATTTTAGTATTACAATCAGCTAAAAACACACTACAGGACAGCCAAGCAGCTCTAAAGCAGTAAGGCCAGTTTGAGGTGGCTATTTAAAGAAAAGTGCTGGCACTTTTCCCTGGCCCAGTAGTTATCTTGGTACTTGCATAATCTATTTTGTAACAATTATATGGAACACTCCAGACTAGCACACTGTTTCTGTTATGAGGTAGAGAACTTGAATTTTCCCTCAATACAAAAGGTATTTACAATCACTCCCCATCTTAAAAACTTGTCGTGCAAAAAAAAGCAAAATAGAATTAAAAAATAATATAAATAAAAACAAAAGGATTTACATTCTAAAGAATGTTTAAAATTTAAAAAGTAAAACTCACTGTTCTAATTTATTCTATTTTTACAGTCTTATTTACTTTATTTACACTTCCTAAACATTGTCCATTTAACATGCCAGAGCACCAAATGATTTCTGTTTTTCTCACTAAAAAACAAACATAAAATTGGTATTTAATAAAATTAGATGTTTTCCCAAGCACTTGCAAGTGCTTAATGTTCATGCAAGGCACAAAACAAGGGGTTTCCAGGCATTGGGGAGTGCATACAATCTCAGACCCATACAAAAAAAAAAAAAAGAGGAGCCCATAAAGTTTTTATGTCACAAATCAAAACACAGAGCTGTGATTACAGCAGTACATCTTTAAGATAGGTATGCTTTTATTCTCTTTCACACTAAAAAAGGACGCTATGTTTTGGAGGAGTCTAAACCTAAGACTGTATGTATACCTGTATTTGAAAACAACAAAAGAACATTGACCCTGATGTTAGCAAAGGATCGCCAACTACTAAACTCAATTCCTTCTCTTCAGTTTATTTCAAAAATAAATAAAATAACCCATGGCTCTGTCCCATCAAGAGGCGTTGGC